CGTTAAACCGGTTGCCGCACACTGTCCGGTGATCAATTTGTCCCGTCGTGAGATTGCTTGCGACCAGGCCACCACAATGCGGGCATGTGTACTGATGCGTTTTCTTTTCTTGGACTGTTCCATTCCGGACGCAAAACCGGTTGCCGCACACTGTCCAGTGATCAATTTGTCCCGTCATGACATTGCTGGCGACCAGGCCCCCACAATGCGGGCATGTGTACTCATGCTTTTGCTGTTCTTGGACTCTTCCATCACTGACGTTAAACCGGTTGCCGCACACTGTCCGGTGATCAATTTGTCCCGTCATGACATTGCTGGCGACCAGGCCCCCACAATGCGGGCATGTGTACTTATGCTTTTGCTGTTCTTTGACTCTTCCATCACTGACGTTAAACCGGTTGCCGCACACTGTCCGGTGATCAATTTGTCCCGTCATGACATTGCTGGCGACCAGGCCCCCACAATGCGGGCATGTGTACTCATGCTTTTGCTGTTCTTGGACTCTTCCATCACTGACGTTAAACCGGTTGCCGCACACTGTCCGGTGATCAATTTGTCCCGTCATGACATTGCTAGCGACCAGGCCCCCACAATGCGGGCATGTGTACTTATGCTTTTGCTGTTCTTTGACTCTTCCATCACTGACGTTAAACCGGTTGCCGCACACTGTCCGGTGATCAATTTGGCCCGTCGTGACATTGCTGGCGACCAGGCCACCACAATGCGGGCATGCGTACTCATGCTGTTTCTTTGCTTGGACTTCACGGTACAACTTCTCGTCGCTGGCCGGCGTCTCCGTCTTGCGTTTCTTTTGTGTCCTTTCTGTTGTTTCTCCTTGTCTCGCCGTAATCTCGGCCCATGTCTCCGCCACCAGCCTCCGGCGACGCTCGAGCTCGGACCCGCTGGCCGTAGCATCGGCGGGGAGCGCCGGCAATCGATCGTGGACACGGTTCTGTGCGGCGCGGGCGCGGAGGCGCGCGAGTCTATGATTGGCGCGGCCGGCATAGCGACAGGCCACTTGCAAAGCTTTGCAACCGTTACACATTTGCCGGCCATCCTGCCCCGCAGTTCGTTTGGCCAGCCACGTGCTAAACTGGGAGGGTTCTTTACGTACGTAACAAGTGTGGCACTGCCACCAACCGCGTTGCTTGCGTGCACATGCGCGACAAACTCTTCGGTCCATATGGCGCGCTTTCCAGGCTGCCGCGCCAAAGGCAGTTTCCGCTTGCCGCACGCCGCAGTTGGCGCATTCTTTGCGCACCTCGCATGTCAGGCACACGCGATAATACGTACACAGTGGTCGATGGTACTTCTTCGGGAAATTTGCCTCTGCGTGCCAGACTTTACAATTATTACACTGCCATGGGGTGCCAGACGTGGCTTTGTCTTGGACGCATGCTCGACAGACACGTTCGTCATCGTTGCGTTTCCATTGGCCTCTGGTATAGGCGTCTTTTTGTTTGCGTTCTCGGCAGATGCAGCATCCGCGCTCTTCGCAGTACGCGTCCAGCAGCGCGCGCCAATTCACACTTTCCCCACGGAGTACTCGCAGGAGCAGCTCACGACCGATACCGACCCCGCGCTGGAAGAGCTTCGCGTGAAATGGCCGAAACAGCAGAAGTTTGTCTCGGCCTGGCACCCGTGTGAAGGCAACATATGCTGTGAAAGGGTTTCCGCTCAGGCCAATGTTTAGGTCCGTTGTGATCGTGGCTGTGGTTGCGTTTGTGCTTGAGTTCGTGGTTCGTTTGTTTGTGCTTCTGTATCGTGGCTCTCCTTCGTTGGTTCTGTACTCTGTTTTGTTTTTGTGGCTGCATGTTGTGCGTTTTGGCTGGCGGTTGAACACGACGCGCACGAGGAGGAGGACAAAGCGGAGGAGAAGGAGAAGAAAGGCAGCTCGCATAAAATCTAACAACCCTCACCTGACAGGTACGCCAAAAGACTCCTCCACCCGAACAAGTCTACGATTCGTCGCCGGTACCAACCCCAAGGAACTCAGTTGAGTCTAGTTCACCTTCGTGACCTTACGTGGGTTTCATGTCATCTGGAAATGGAGTAAATAAGACAGTGCTTGTGCAGCACGTCCCACTTATTCAGCGGGCGTCTTATTTACTCCATTTCCAGATGACATGAAACCACGACCCTTCTCCCCCTCGCTGGGGTCGGCGGCACGGGGCGTAGCCCTTACAATAAAGAAAGAAAGACAGAAGGAAGGAGAAACAAAAGAATGAAAAAGGTGAAAAGAAAGAAATGAATAAAGGAAAAAGAAAAAGATAAATAAGAAATAAATGAAAGGAATAAACAAAGAAGGAAACACACGGCCCCGATTCTTGAGCCCATCACCTCTGCGAGTCCTGGATGTTGGTCGAAACACGAGAAACCCACAACAACAAACGTAAGAAACGTGTCTTGGAAAGAAAAATAGATAAATAGAAATAGAATGAAATAGAGATCTTTTAATGTGTTTTCTTCCAAAGTTGGAAGCAACTTGCAGAAATCAACTGTTGTTTTGAGTGAACTCTTCTTCAGAAATGACCGAGAAGGGGCGAAACACATGAAGAACGTCTCGTGTCCTGATACTGCATGCGCAGACAGCGAAACGGCACGAGCCCTCCCGACTGTTTCAGAAGCTGCAGAAGCAAACGGTGCACAAAACGCTGAAGGCATTACTACTAGTCGCAGTCTTGCTACGTTCGTAGCGTCCGAACGCTACTAGTAGCGATGCCCGGGTTCCTAGTAGCGATGCCAGGAGCTACTAGTAGAACTCTTAACTATTCATTCATACTGTTTCACATCGGGTAGTGGCACATTTGAGGCGGCATTCCTGAGCTCTGCGATGTGTTGGACTCAAAATTCCCAGCATCCCATTCGCGTTTTTCCGAAAGCCGGTTTAAGTAATGCTGACACAGAAGCACAACATTTGATGCACTCTGTGAACACTTTGGCACTCTCAATTTTAGAGGCCAGAGTGAGGAAACACCTTGTTCGACAGTGCTTCACAGGATTTGTATCTCAGCTATCATCTCACAGTTTGACACTGTCGGCCACGAATATGTGATGCTTTGCAGCCGAAGCCTGCAGCCCTGACTGAGTATATGAAGCAAACAAGTGCTGGAGGCCATCGCTCTTGGTGTGAAGTAAAGTCCATTGTGTTCCTCTGTTTTCGGGGTAGAGCTTTGATGCGCTTTCTATGTGTCAAGGCGTTGTGAAACGAAGAGCTCGTGCCCCTGGCGTCATCTCTCTTCATAAAGAGACACAACCAATGATCAGGTTGAGCCGGCCATGGGCACTTGATGGTTGAACTAAAAATGAGCCAAATTAAAGATCTACCAGATTCTTGGCGCTTGGCTCAAAATTGACACTCCTGAAGATTGCTCGGGGACACAAAAACTGCAAGCATGTAGCAGTGGATCGAAAAATGGACGCGTAGGATCCTTGTCTCTGAGGTTCTTTTGATGTCTTGAAATCTCGCGAACCAATCTCCTGGCTATGCAAGTTCAACCCCAGGATCTGCGAGGGCCTCAGAAGGAGCATGTTGTGGATGCCGTGCACAAAACTCACATGCATTGAAGAAGAAAACGCTACTAGGGGCTCCTGGCCTTACTACTAGGAGCAAGAAGCTAAACAATAGACTTTACTCAACCCACATGCATTGAAGAAGAAAAGGATTGACGTTGCCGAAGCGTTGGCCAAAACTCGCTCTGAAGAAAGTTTTGAGTCCATCGCTCTTAGGTTGGAGGCCATCGCTGCTAGCTGGAGGCCATCGCTAGTAGGTTGGAGGCCATGGCTCTTAGGGTGGAGTGAAGTCTATTGTTTAGCTTCTTGCTCCTAGTAGAAAGTCCAGGAGCCCCTAGTAGCGTCCTTGCTCCTAGTAGCGATGCCAGGAGCCCCTAGTAGCGTTCCCTGCAGGTTCCCTGTGGCGGCTTCGCTGAGAGATCCTCACTGGCCAAAGTCGTTAAAGCTCCACGTCGCACACGGCTGCTTCGTGGGCTCTCAGCCTTGGCAGGTGTAACCACATGAAAACTAAGATATCAAAACGGAAGAGACGCCCTTTGTTACTAGTAGTAATGGCCTCCACCCTAGTAGCGATGGCCTCCAACCTAGTAACAATCTAATCACATCCAAAACGGAACAGTTGTAGCAATCTAACATGTTTTGTTGCAGCTAGTGGCACCCCTCCCTTGGTCTTGGGACTCACCTTGCAACTTTCCGCTCAGACCCATAGTGAGGTCCCGCTTTGTGGAGGAGCTGAGTGCGGCGATGGCCGCCAACCTAGTAGCGATGGCCTCCAACCTACTGGCGATGGCCGCCAACCTAAGAGCGATGGCCTCCCAATCTATAATGTCCATGTTTTTCCCGAGAGCGTCTGCGAAGGGTTCTTCGTAAAAAACATCTGCAGAACTACGTCTCATCTACATCTTCACATCTTCACCTCTGCACATCCACATTCTCACCTATATCTCTGCTCATCTTCACATCTACATTCACAACTGCACATCTACATCTCTGCACATCTTCACATCCTCACATCGACATCTCTGCTCATCTTCATCTTCACACATCTACATCTCTGCTCATGTTGCACTCATCTTCACATCCTCACATCTACATCTCACATCTTTACCTCTCATCTACATCTCACATCTTCACCTCTCGCTCTTCTTAACTTTCTCTCTTAAGGCCGGGGGCAGCGCTGCCGGACCGCCACGAAACGCAACCCTCTGCGGAGATCGTGCGTGTCGGATGCGCGAAATGCAGGCGAGAGTGCGATTTGTCCCGGTCGCGGGCAACCCTCTGCGGAGATCGTGCGTGTCGAGTGCACGAAATGCAGGCGAGAGTGCGATTTGTCTCTGTCCGTCGCAACCCTCTGCGCCACTGTAGTACGCGGAGCAAGCTGTGGAGCTTCAAGCTGAGAACTGGTGACTTTCTAGTACGACTTTAGTACGCGGAGTATCTGGGGAGCTGGAAGATGAGAACTGGCGACTTTG